TATATATATATATATATATATATATTAAAGATACTGTACAGAGGGGTTACAGTTACATGAGTAAGGTAATGAGTACATTTTTTTATCAAGCATTGTTACCCCCTCCTTTGTTTTTCCCCTACCATCCCTTCCCTCCCCACTTCCCCAACTCCTCTTTCCCCCCTAAGTTGTAAAATTTATTTCCAACATAGTGTCTGAACCAGCTTTATTTATTTATTTATTTTTGGTCGGTCGTGGGGCTTGAACTCTGGACCTGGGTGCTGTCCCTCAGCTCTTCAGCTCAAGGCGAGCGCTCTAGCACTTGAGCTACAGCTCCACTTCCAGTTTTCTGGTGGTTTATTGGAGATAGGAGTCTCACGGTCTCTCCTGCCCAGGCTGGCTTTGAACCACGATCCTCAGATCTCAGCCTCCTGAGTAGCTAGGATTACAGGCGTGAGCCACCAGCGCCCGGCTTGCTTGAACCAGCTTTATGACACTGGAAGTGGAGGTGTGGCTCAGGTGGTAGAGCTCCAGCCTGTAAAAAGGTTTATAAAACTTAAATACTCTGGAGAAAGAAGAGGATGGGATAAGTAATGGCACATCTATAAGGTAGAAGAGCATAAGGCAGGTATATTTGGAGGAAAGAGATCTAGATCCAAGTGTCCCCAGTGATTGCACAATCCTTCCATCAGAAATGACAAAGTGACAACAGGCTGGAAATGTCACCCCTGCTGTGGCTCCATTCATCACCAAGGAAGATGCCACTTGTCTTGATTGTCATACCAACTTTTCTCAGAAGGGGGCAGCACAGACTCATTAAAGCCCTGTTCCCAGGCTTAACCACTAAGCCTCCCTCCAAGAATTTCCTCCTCTGTGGAACTGTTCTTGGAAAGGCCCTTCCTGCCAAACCAACCAAATTTAATAGATAATCATTGATTACATTTCTCTTGTTTTTTTTCTTTTTGTAACTCATGGTCTGGTCAGCACCAGGCAGAGATGATGCTGGCTTGCTGAAATGGTAATCTTCCATACAAGAATTCCTACTTAGTCTAGCCTAGCTTTATTTTTGCTAGGGTGTGTGTGTGTGTGTGTGTGTGTCTGTCTGTCTTTCTGGTAGTGGCCTGAAGACCCCAGGGTATGAGGACAGTCTGGCACTGACTGAATTAGTTCTCCCCCCCCCCTCAGATTTTGGCTACAAAGCTCCCTTTCCCCCCCATGCCCCCCCCCCCCCGTGCCTCTTAAAGAGGTAGTTCTGGGCAAGAAGAAATGTGACCACTTGGTCCTAGGCTACCTGGAAGTGGCCCCTCTCTCAGATATGTCTAATCTGTCCTTGGCTAGGCTGTTAGCTGCCCAAGAACAGGAACTCTTTTGATGGGTCACACAGTTCCTGGGATTAAGAGCAGTGCTGGGCACACAGCTGATGTTAGTTAAAGGATTGTTGAGAGGGATAGCCATTGAGGAATCAGGAACTAGATTGTGTGCGAATGTGCCAATCTGGGAGGCTTGTAATCTGGGCCTCTGGGCCTGGGTAATGTCCCTGAGCATTTTTCTCAAGGCTGACAACTCTATTTATTTATTTATTTATTTATTTTTTGGGTCTGGTCATGGGGCCTGAACTCTGGGCCTGGGCACTGTCTCTCAGCTCTTCAGCTCAAGGCTAGCGCTCTACCACTTGAGTCACA